GAGATCGTGAGGCGCCTCAAAGGGGATGGCTTCCCGGTAACGGAGGCGGCGAAGACTCCGTATATTGGCGTTGATGTCGGCGGAGGGCGGCGACGCGTTCGTGCGACCAGGACGGTAAGAGCAGCTCGTCACCAGGAGATGCACAATAAGGTTGTGAAGTACGCACGCACGGCACGCAGGCACAGGCTGACGGCGCGGCTGGAGCAGCAGGGCGCTGCAGCAGCGGGCGCGCATGCCCATCAGGTTCATGGAGTACTCGGCCACAGAATGAGGCAGATGAAGACTTTCCTGCGCGACGCATCTAGCCCTCGCCCCACTGGGCCATGCGTCACGGCGCTGCTGGATTTGCGTGCCCCAGGGCCAGACCCTACAGGTCGGTTGTCACGCGCATGTCTGCATATGTGGATTCGGACATGGTGCTCGCCGCCTGCGACGCGCAGCGGCATCGAGCGAACTTGGGGACAGCTTGCACAAGAGTTTCGCTCCATGAATCCACAGCTGCGCAGCCGCCACACACGAGGACCGCAGGCGGCAGTGATTGCCTACATCTTGCAGGAGGGGCGGGAACCAGAAGGGCCAGCCGACTGGCGAGTCCAAAGCGACGGTTCGGAGATCCAGCAAAATTGGCAGTTGAACCCAGACACCCTGACGGGCTTCGAGAAGGTCGATGTGCCCAAGGCTTTCCTGCAGGAGTACGAGGGTGCGGTGATGCAGAGGTTGTGGCGTCAAGCTGCAACTCACTTCGATGGCACGGGCATGGAGGGAGGGATCTGCAACCTCTCACTCTGGGCCCTTCTTCATCAATTGGAGGAGGGGCCCAACGGCAGGCAGCTGTCGGGCATCCTCTTGTCAGCGGCAGCAGGGGCAGCATGGCCAAGGGAGCGCAGGTCGGAGAAATCTAAGTTGCCTATAGCTCAGACCTGTGATCGGTGCCGAAGTGAGAAGGAACCCTCGTCCCACCGTATTTGGAGTTGTTCGAAGTGCACTGGTCATGACCTTTACACACTCTCAGATGAGTATGCCCCGAGGGCCGACACGCAGCATGAGGTTGAGCCATGTATCTGGCATCGAGGCTTTCTGCCGCAATCTTGGGTCGCGGTCCCGGCCCCGCAAGAGGAGGCTGTTTGGTGGAGTGAGGGCGTCGGAGCGTTTGACGATAACTGCTTCGGTCAGGGCTCGGCGTTGGCCCCCGTTTGCCTTTTCGGGGATGCCAGCGGGGGCGAAGATACCAGTGATCCTCGGCTTCGTAGAGTTGGATGCGGCATAGCACAGGATTCTGAGATGCCCGAGAATGTGCAGCTAGTTGCTTCTGTGCGGGGGGGCCTCCCTGGACCCCAACAGACAGCAGCCAGGGCTGAGTTTTACAGTTCCCTGTCAGCGTTGATCGGCGCCGACGGAGTAGTGCTATACACCACTGATAACTCCAGTGTGTGCTCAAGGTGGTATGGTATTGTGGCCGAGATTTCGCCCCTGATGGGGAGAACGCGGATTTGTGGCACCAGGTAGGTCAGGTTCTCCAGAGAAAGCCAGATCTGTGTTGCACGGTCCGTTTTGTTCGCTCCCATCAGGAAGCTCGGGGTGTCGTCCAGGGTGAAGCTCCTTTGTATTCGACTGTGGGGAGCGCGGCCGCAGATGAGCTGGCCGAGGCCGCTGCCAGAGCGGTGCGCACCCCCGCTGATATCAGGACTAAGGCTTTCACGAACGAGAGCATGGTTTTCGCTGCCCGCATGCGAACGTTGCTTGCCGCCCTGGAAGCTTTAGAAGCCGAGCAGGCCCTGGCGACCGAGGAGCCCCGAGGAACCCGGGTCGGGAATCCTGGGCCCAGGCCGCCCGCGCCTCTGGTGTGCAAAGAACGTTCGGCCCTACACACGCTGTCTGAAAACGGACTCTCTTGTTTGAAGTGTAGGAGCACTACGACCAAAGCTAGGCGAACGATTTGGTGGATACCGAGTGCTTTGACCCGAGGGCTATAGATGGCGTAATTGTCAGGCCGCCTCCCCCGTTGCAGGGTGCACATCTGTGGGGGGGGGGCTGATGAAACAGTTGGCCCAACTCGGAAGGATGTGCGATGGCAGACCTGCAGGTAATCGCGCTGATTATCTGAATTCGCCGGCCCAACGGGCCAGGGCGTGCTAAGATCTCCGGTAACTGGTTAACAGTATTAACAGTATTTCTAGTTCGCGCGCGCGGGGCGGCCCCTGGGGGTCCCCCGGCGAAAAGTACCCCGACCAACGCCCGGTCGCCGCGGTCGCCGCCCGACCGCCGCCCGACCGCCGCCCGACCAAGTCTACTCAGAGATGGTTTTCCTTCTGGGTGCGGCCTCTCAGGCTCCCCAGAGCGCGCTCAGAGTGCCCCAAGAGGCCCCCAAGACTGCCCAAGAGGCCCCCGAGACGCCCAAAGAGCGCTCGAAGACGCCGAAGATGACCCCAAGACGGCCCAAAAGGCCCCCAAGACAGCCCAAGAGGCCTCCAAGACGCCCCAAGAGCCTTCCAAGAGGCCTCCGAAGAGAGCCCCAAGAGGCCAAAATCGTTGATTTTCATTGGTTTTTTTCGATGTTTTTTGTGTTCTGGCTTTTTCGGCTTCCGGACGCTCCAAGACGGCCCAAGAGGCCCCCAAGACCGCTCCAAGACGGCCCACGAAGCTCCCAAGACGGCGCCGAAACGACCCAAGAGAGCCCTCAAGACGGCCCAAGTGCCGCCCAAGACGGACCAAGAGGCCCCAAGACGGGCCCAAGAGGGACTCAGGAGGGATACCGAGAACTCAAAAATGGAGCCCTCCGTCCCAGAAGGCGCCCAGGAGGTCCCAAAGAGGCCCCAAGAGGCCTCCAAGAGGCCCCAAGATGTCGCCAAGAGGCCCCAGGAGACTCCCAGGAGGCCCAAAAGAAGCCCCAGAAGGCTTCAAACATGTCTCCCAGGCGCCCCCGAACGGCCTCTCAACAGACCCCAAGAGGCCCCCCAAAGAAGCATCTTGACGACGACTCTATTTCGCCCCATCGAGAGACGACCCCCAGGGAACTGCTTCACCATCAAAACTCCCCACGCAACGCGTCCGAACGACACCCGCCCCCAAGAGCGCAACATGGGCAACGAACACACAGACAAAAACCAGCGATGCCATATCACGGGCCGGCGGAATGAGCGAAGCGATTCAATAATATCGAACGGGGGATCTGGCCTAAAACTTACAAACAAGCGAACAAGGCCGGAAGAGCGACTCGTCCTTTGTAAATGATGGCGTAAACGACACAATCGCAATATCCGTAACTCCGTAACTCCCGCCTCCCTCCTCCCTCCTCCCTCCTCCCTCCTCCCGCCTCCCGCCACCCGCCTCCCGCCTCCCGCCTCCCGCCTCCCTCCTCCCACCTTCCTCCTCCCTCGTCCCTCCTCCCTCCTCCCTCCTCCCTCCTCCCTGCTCCCTCCCCCTCCGCCCTCTCCCCTCCTCCCCTCCCTCCTCTCCTCCTCCCCCCTCCCTCCTCCCTCCTCCCTCCTCCTCCTCCTCCTCCCTCCTCCCTCGTCCCACCTCCCAAACTCCTCCTCCCTCCATCCTCACTCCTCCCTCTTCCCTCCCTCCTCCTCTGCCCCCCACGCATAGAGGTAGAATAGAATAGAACTCCTCCTCCCTCCTCCCTCCCCTCCTCCTCAAGCCTCCCTCCTCCCTCCTCCCTCCTCCTCCCTCCTCCTCCCTCCTCCTCCCTCCCTCCTCCCTCCTCCTTCCTTCCTCCCCCCTCCGCCCTCCTCCTCCTCCTCGTCCTCTTCCTTCTCGTCGTCTCCCTCCTCGACCTCATCCTCCTCGTCCTCCTCCTCCTCGTCCTCCTACTCCTCTGCCTCAGCCTCCTCCTCATCATCATAGTCTGTTTCGTATTATATGTATTACGTCTTGTATTCCGAGTACTCATAACAGTTGTTTATTGGTGTCAGTGATATTTTCTGCCACCATTACTGCACTTCATATTCGTAATACTATGATCACCTGGTTACTTAGATCCGTTTTCTGATTAACATCCGTTGGTTATGCATATTAATGGTGCTGGTCGTCTTACTCGTATTCGTGGCAGTCGTGTGATTGTTATTAGTATGAGTATTATGTGTAGTAGTGTTTAAACTGTCTAGTAGTCGAATTAGCATGATTCTTCTGATTAGTCGTATTACTCGTGTTTCTACTCATCCTCCTCCTCCTCCTTCCCACCCTCCTCCTCCTCCTCCTCCTCCTCCTCCTCCTCCTCATCCATCTTCCATCCTCCTCCTCATCGCCCCCCCTCATCCTCCGCCTCCTCCTACTCCTTCTCCTCCTCCTCCTGCTCCTTCTCCCGTTTCTCAATTTTCCGCAAATCCCTCCTCACCCGAACTGGGCATGGTTTGCGGAGGCTATCTCGTGGATCGTCCTCGGCAAACTCCCGAGTGAGATCATGGCCGTTTGCCCGACCAGGGATGCCACGGCTCTTCGCAGGGGCGACGGTGTGTGACTGCTCATCGTGGGCTCCACGGTGCGCCGCCTGGGTCTGCGAACACTAACGCGGGTCAGGAAGGAACAACGAATGGACACAGCCAAGCGCAGGAAATACAGAGCAGCAGGAAGGAGCAGCAGAAATACAAGCGTATGGCGGCACTGAACTCCTGCAGCAGGAAGGAGCTCGACCGCAAGTAAACAGAAACAAGAAAACCAACCCTGAGACCCCAGGACGTCCATTGATGTTTCGTCCTCCTTTGTTCCCTCTTTCCCCTGCCCCCTAAATGTCCTCCTCCTCCTTCTCCTCCTCCTCCTCCTCCTCCTCCTCCTCCTCCCCTCCTCCTCCCCCCCTCCCCCTCCTCCTCCTCTCTCCTCCTCCTCCTCCTCCTCCTCCTCCTCCTCCTCCTCCTCCTCCTCCTCCTCCTCCGCCTCCTCCTCCTCCTCCTCCCCCCCTGGTCCTCATCCTCCTCCTCCTCCTCCTCCTCCTCCTCCTCGCGATGATGCCCTGCCCCCCTCGACGCCCGCCGCCGCGCTGCACGGGCGCCCCCGGGCGCCTCGAGCATGCCCAGGACGCCGCCCTCGACGCCCGCGGCTCCGGTGTACGCCTGCCGGGGGGGGGCCCGCGGCGAAGCGCGGCGCGGAGGGCGGGGAGAAAGATGTGACGAGGGCGTCGTCCGGACTGCGCCCATGAACAACGAAAACACGATCTCCTCCTCCTCCTGCTTTTCCTCCTCCTCCTCCTCCTCCTCCTGCGTTTCCTCCTCCTCCTCCTCTTCCTCCTCCTTCGCCCATGAAAGACGACCACACAAACCCCCCTCCACCCCTCCACCCCTCCCCCGGTAAAGCGGAGCCAGGACGAGGACAGATTCGGGTGAGGATGAATCGAGCATCTCTGAGATCTGGCGGCTCTAGAGGCTGGATGATGTCTCGGGCGCCGCGGCCTTATCAGAGCGTTCTGGAACGCTCTGGCAGCGTTCCTGGACGCTCTTGTGGCCGCCCCGAATGGGTATGAAAAAATGAGCACGATGCCTGCCCTGGTTTCCCGGGAGCTGCCTCGATCAAGAAGAAGAAGAGAAGGAGGAATCACAGAAAAACAAAGAAGGCGACGGAAAACAGAGAAGAAGAAGAAGGAGGAACAAACAGAAAGGAGAAGGAGAAACAACAAAGAGGAGAAGGAGAAACAAAAAAGAGGAAGAAGGATAAACAAACACAGAACGGCATCTCCCCGACGCGCGGATCTCTTGGCTTTGCGGTGGGCCCCCCGAACGCCCGGCGCGCGGGACGCGCCGCGGGCGCCGCAAGGGGCGGCCCGGCGCGGATCCAGGAGATCCGCGCGGAGGGCCAAAAGTTTGGCGCTTTTCTTCCTCGATTGGTGCAGGGCAATTTTTAATACATAGGATGTTTAAACATATGGGATGTTTAACGCATGACTCATGCATGAATAGATTTATGCATGAACTCGTCGTTGATTTCAGTGCTAAATCCCTGCATGTTTAATGCATGATCCGCTCGCAGAGCATGTATTAAAAACGGCACTGTACTTTGGACGCCCGAAATGGGTACGGAAAAATGGGTACAATGCCCAACAACAGATGTTCTCCCAAACCAACAGCGGCCGCTGTTGGGCAGGCGGCCTTCTGTCTCAAATAGACACAAGCCGCGGCGGCGTGGATAGCGAGTCCTGTTCAAAATGAACGAAATCTGCTGTTGGGCATTGTACCCATTCTTCCGTACCCATTTCGTCCGGTCCGATTGATACGTGGCCTCATCCGAACGCGCCGATTGGAGAAGCGCCGCCCAGCCCACAGGGGGGCAGAGGGGCTCATCCGGCCGACCCCCTTGATATGTGAGGACGCAAGCTGCCCAGACCTCCCCGCGTGAGATGCAAGGATCATCGGGGGGGGGATGGCTCAAGGAAGGCTCGTCCTCCTCCTCCTCCTCCTCCTCCTCCTCCCTCTTCCTCCTCCTCCTCCTCCTCCTCCGTCCTCCGTCCTCCGTCCTCCTCCTCCTCCTCCTCCTCCTCCTCTACCAAGTTTGTCTTTTTTACTCGGCTCCTGGGGGCCCAACTCCGGGCCTCGGGACCGCCCCCCCCCCCCCAACAAAAAAATGAAAAACAACGGCTCAGGAGGCCGGTCCTGGGGCGAGTGGGTCGAGACCTCTGGGGGTCGACGCTCTGGAACAATCCAGACGTCGAGGGAGGCTTTGGGTGGGGGGGCAGGTGGGGAGGAGGGGATGGAGGGGCACACCAGGAACACCACCAAGTGGCCAACAATCCATCAAAACAGAACAAGTTCAGCCAAAGGAGGAGTCCCGAGGAGGAGTCCCCGCGGTAGGGCACGCGCGCGGGGGCCGCGGGCGCGGGCGCAGGGGCGGGCCCCCCTCGGCGAGGCAGCGGAAGCCGCCGAAACGGGCAGAGGCGCGCGGGGGCGCACGCGCGTCCGCACGCGGGGCCGCCAAGTCCCCCTTCCAGAAGGGATGGAGGGATGGAGGGCGAGGCATGGGGGACTGAGAGAGGGAGGAAGGAGGAGGGAGGAGGAGGGAGGAGGGAGGAGGGAGGAGGGAGGGGAGGGAGGAGAGAGGAGGGAGGGGGGGGGGAGGAGAGGAGGAGGAGGAGAGGAGAGGAGGAGGAGAGGAGGAGGAGGAGGAGGAGGAGGAGGAGGAGGAGGAGGAGGAGGAGGAGGAGGAGGAGAGGGGGAGGAGGAGGAGGAGGAGGAGGAGGAGGAGGAGGAGGAGGGAGGAAGAGGGGGAGGAGGAGGAGGAGGAGGAGAAGCACGGGAGACATCATCGATGCTGCGAGGAATCCCCTCCTGGCGGGTCCCCTCCCGATCTCGGCCCGCCACTCCCCGAAGACGTCGCCTAAATGCCTCTGGCTGCCGGGAGCGCCCCCCTTTCCGAGGCGGGGGGGGAGAGGAGCGATTTTTGGGGATGGACAGATCTCCCTTTAGTAAAACGTGGTTTAGTGAAAACGACCAGAGACCCAAACCTGGCGGGCGCAAGCCTGGAAAATAACGGCCGCGGCGCCCTCTCGAGAACCGAAAACGGACAATTCACTAATCGACGTGTCACTGTTGGGGGTTCTGTCCACCCCCGAGATTTCGAATCGAAGACACATCGTCGACAGATCGGCGGTAGGCACCCGATGGTAGAGGCATCGTAGATGGGGCCCGAGTGGATAGGAGTCGGAGGATCGCGCCGCGTCGCCGATGCATCGGCGACGCGTCGCTTCATGGGAGCCTCTGTGGACCTCCGCGGCCATATCATAAACACGATATTGACCAGATTCCATCCAGATTTTGACCAAAGCCTCTTCGCCCTCTCGTCCAATGTCGTGAAGAGTTCGCCCAGATGTCGTCCAAACGTCGTCCAGATGTCGAAGACGTCCAGCAAAATCCTGGCGAAATCCAACAATCTGCAGAGGATTTGGGGACCCTCTGGAGCGAAGGCGGCAACCCCCCCCCCCGGAGACGCGCCTCGCCAGAGTCGAAGCCGCTGTCCGGTGCCTGGTCGCCGGGCGCCACGGGCGACTCGGTAGGCTTCGCGGTGTTGACCACCACTGGGTTGTAAGAGCCTGAACGGGGAAGCAAAACCCGGAGGCGAGTCTGGGGGAGGAGGTGAGAAGGGGCCCTGCGTTTCTTGAGGGATGAAAAAACGACCCTACCATGGGATACAAGTGCGTGGTCTGTAAACCTCCTGGGAACCCCCAAAGCCTAGAGCCGCCAGGACGCGGCACATCACGCAGGGCTTATCCTGTCAGCCCGCAGGAGTTTCAGCGCACAGCGCCTCGTAAACCAGGGTAGGGGCGGTTTTTGTATGCCCTTGAGTTTCGGCATTGGGCGGAGTGTGGGGGGGGGGTCTGGCTCCGGAGCTCTGCTCAGTGCGGCTGTCTGCAAGAGTGTGGCCTCTGGGGGGAGGCTCCACCCGATCGAAACAGGCGCCAAAAAACAGCCAAGATCTACTCCACGGGGGGGGGAGGGTACGAGGGCCCGCGCCGATCGGCAAAACAATGAACAAAAAACGATGACCTGTCTTAGGCTGCTTGGAAGCGTCTCGGGGGTCGTCCGTTCGCGTTCTCGGGGCTCCTTGGGGGCGTCTTGGGCCGTCCTGGGGCGTTTTGGAATCTCGGGACGCCCTCTCGGAGGTGGTCTCTTGGAGCCTCTTGGAGGCCCTCTGGCTGATGGCCTCTTCGGCGATCCTGAGAGCCCGGAGAGCCGCCGAGGGCTTTCCTGGGCCGCCTGGGCGCGTCCTGGGCCGTTCTCTCGATGGGCGCAGGGGGTCCGCTCACCTGCTCGGCCTGCCCCCACCCTCCCCGGCCCCCGCTCCTCCTAAAACCGCGGCTCCTGGGGCCCCGGGGGCCCCGCACGGTCCTCGGCCTGACCTAGAGGGACACGAGGAACGAAGTCCGGAGTGACGAATCAGGAGCGATACATGAGACACAACGCAGAAGGGGAGCGATACATAACGCATGCAAGCCTAAAGAACGACCGAGCCCCTTTCGAACACACAAGTGTTCCTGGTTCGAGCCGCACGCTGTACGGCGGGGGCCCGTCCACGAGAGACCGTCCGCAAGAAGCCCCACCCTGAGACCCCAGGACGCCCACGGATCCTGGATGTGGGAACGCCACGCTCTCCACTTGGAGGTCGCTTGGGGGGCAGCGATGTTTCCAAGGCCAGATCCCAATACGCTCAGCCAGCACACTTGATCCGTCAATAACAATCCTCACGACACCCATTCGCGACAAGTTCGGACCTCAGGTTTGCTCTTACCAACGATTGGGCTGCTAAGGCTTGCTCTCACGCTGCGAGCAGTATCTCCTCCTCCGTCGCCCCAGAAGCACAGATCGCGTTCGCTGCCCCTCGGCGAACTGAAACTCTCCACAGCAAAGCCGTCGGCACCCGAGCAACCCCGGCCTCGAGGGCCCCGCACAGCGGGGGCCCCGTCCACGCGAGCAGCCCTCCGCGAGAGAGGAGCCCAACCCCGAGGCCGCAGGGCCCCCATGGCACTCGGAGGCGGGAGCGCCAAATTGTCCACAGCAGAGCCGTCGACACCCACCGGGGATGGACAGACCCCCCTTTGGCAAAACGTGAACTAGTGGAAACGACCTGAGGCCCAAACCCGGCGGGCGCGAGCCTGGAAAAAAACGCGGCCACGGCGCCCTCTCGAGAACCGAGAACGGACAATTCACTGATCAACGTGTCACTGCTGGGGGTTCTGTCCACCCCCGAACCCAAGCAACTCCTGGCAGCCTGGAGGCAAGCAGGGGGGCGTCTTGGCACGGGCCCCCACTGCAGTGGTTCCAATGCCGCGTCCTCCTCTGGGGCTCCCGCTGATCCTCTTCCTCCTCCTCCTCCTCCTCCTCCTCCTCGTCCTCCTCCTCCTCCTCCTCCTGGGAAGCGTGTGATCTGGGGAGGACAAGAAGAGGACACGGAGTCGGAGATCCGGCATTGGACGAGGCGCACGCAGCGCCACCACGCCGAAGGGTGTCGCACCTCGGAGGGGCAAAACCCGCGCAGAGAAGCTCCGACGCAACAGAAATTCTCCCCAGGGGGGGTTCTGGAAAGCCCGACCCTGCCCCAAAAGGCCGCCTTTGCACTACTACTCCTCCTAATCCTCGTCCCTGCGTAGGGGCGATGCGCGAAGTATTCAGCATAGTCGCCAAGTTCGTGCCTTCTCCCCCCCCTCCCCACACGCGCGCGCTGCCTCCTGCGCGTGGGAATGAGGAGAGGGGGGAGGCTATGGAGTTCAGACAGGGAAGAGCAACAGGAAATGGGGATGGGGAGCAGGAGGGAAAAGACGAGGAAGAAGGGGAGTGGGAAAAGGCGAGGAGACCGGGGAGAAGGAGCAAGAGGGAGGAGGGCAAGGGCCGAGGAGCAAGAGGAAGGAGGAGCAAGAGGAAGGGGAGAGGAAGGAGGAGCAAGAGTAAGGGGAAGGAGGAGCAAGTGGAGGTGGTGGAAAGAGAAAGGGTGAGGAAGGAGAACAGCAGCGAGAAGGAGGGGGAGAGGTAACTCCCGGTGTCGGCTTCGAGAGGGTGAGAACATCACCCTGCGACGCACTCAACCCATACGCAACGATTTGCCAAAACAACGAGCTAAACAAACGGCCCGCCGCCTTCATCTAGTTTCTCAATTTCCGCTAGGACCCCTTCAAGGCAAGCGCCGAGTGTGGCATATGATTATTTTCCGCCCCTCCCGCCCGCCACTGCGCCTGGGTTGTAGGTCAGAGGCTTCTTGGATGCCTCGAGGACTTTTTTGTTGAAGAGCTCCTGGAAGTCTCATGGAAACAGTTTTGGGATGTCTTGGGGCGTCTCGGGGGCCTGTTGGGCTGCTGGCGGTCTCGGCGGTCACCTTGGACTAGAGGGCTCCAAATGTGAGTCCGAATTCCCCATATTTGGGCCCTCTTGGGTCCCCGCTGGGACTGACTTGGGGGCATTTGGACCGTCTTGGAACCCTCTTGGGCTGTCTTGGGGCCTTCTTGGGGGCCTCTTGGGCTGTCTTGGGGCGATCCTGGGAGCATCTTGGGCCGGGGCCCTTGGGGATGTTCCGGGAGCTCTTTTGGGGCACCTGTACACAAACAAACACAAACACAAACCTACACACACAAATCAGGCACCCATGCATGGGACGTGTTGGTGCCCTCTTGGGCCGTCTTGGGGCCTTCTTTTTGTGGAGTTCTGGCGGCCCGACGCCCGCCTCAGCCTGCGTTCAGAAGACGATGGCTCTACGCAAGCAGTGTCGGCCGATGCTTCCGCGCCCACGTCGGCGCTCTCTCTAAAGTCGAGCAGACTGTATCGGTGTCAGTCGTGGGCCGGCCACTGGCTCGGGCATACCCACGCGCGGCACGGGTGGTGCTTGCCCTTTCTCGGGCACGAGTTCAAAACATATCGCAACAACTGACCCACGTTAGCGTCTGCCCGCATTCGCCCAGCAAGCTGGCTCGCAGCCCGTTGTAGGGACTTGAGTGTTGCACATGCAGGCCAACGCCCAGCAAGCTGGCTCGAACGGAGCATGTCCCTGAAAAGCTCCTGCCCGTATTCATACATCGCCAATTCAAATCGATCGCGATGCCTAATTTTTTGTATATGTCATCGGGTAGATACTCACTCGGGTATCTGTGGACTTTCCGGGTCCCCCCCGCAATATGAAAGCCCAAACTCAGCGCAGAGCAACTTCATAGAAGTCGCGTAATTGCCCTGATCAATCACCAAATCGAATGACGCCAAGCGCCGTTTCGCAAACTCTACATCTTCCCATGACAAATTTGCGGGTAACGGCTTACCTATAAGTTTACGCAAACCATAATTATCTGAACTGCACATGTCCATGTTGGTACCATTGGCGAATGTCCTCCACATACCATCACTAGCAAAAGTTCGCTCTATCGGATCCCGCAAGGAAACCAGGCTGACAAATCCTTCCAAATCGCACGGCCTGAAGCTGCTCAAGTCTTCTGGCGGTATCTCGCTTTCCTCCTTCCACACGTTGAACCACCGATGGGTCGAGTTATCTGGGGCCACGAGGAAGGGATCTGCGTCGATTTCGCAGAGGCCATTCAGTTGGAGGATGCTCTTAATGTTGCTTCCAGCATGGTGAGGGATATGGAAAAAACAGCCTCCCGCCGTGCATCCGGTACTCCCGAAGAGCAGCCTCGCGGTTGTGAGAACACTCCTGCGGGCCCTGGACGGTGCCGTTCCCGGCACCGCGCGCAGTGGGGCCCGAGGCGCTCCCAGGTCGTGGCTCCATCGTACGCCTGCTGCCCAGCACCTTGCTGGCGCGGAGAGGCCCAAAGAGCACGAAGGGCAGGCCAAACAGCATGGCCAGCATCGCAGGCCAGGCGGTCGAGCGGGCCAGGCGCTGAGCCGGGCCTGTCCCCCGACAGGGGGAGTTTCGACGAAAAATAAAAGATACCCCAAACATGATAACAAAAAAAACAGTCCAAAAATAATATGGAGACTATTCTTTAAAAAGGTATGAAACAATGTTTGACCTTTTTGGGGCATTGTTGGGGTATGTTTTATTTTTCTTCGAAAATCCCCCTGTAGGGGGACACGCCCGACACGAGGCCAGCGCCTGCCCCGTGCCCCGCATCGGACGCCGCGCGCTGCAGCTGCAGGGGCTCGGCTGCTGCCGATGGGGGGGGGGGGCGGCGCCGGGGCCCCCCAGCGCTTGCACCACAGTGGCTCGAGCTCGAGCCAGAAGTGAAGGGGCCCTGGGACACACAAATGGATACACACAAATACAGTCATCGGCCTGACCTGAGGAACGATAAATAAGGAACGAAGCCCCTCTTTTATCCCAAGGAATAACGCATAAGGAACGATAAATGACAAAATTAACGCATAAGGAACTGCAAATAACGCATGTAAAATGTAAGGAAAGACCGAGCCCCTTTTGAAAAGCAAATGTTCTTTATTCAAGCCGCTCACTGTAACGGGATTCCCCATATTTTCCAATATTTTATGGGTTTTTGTCTTCCCCCCCACTTCCCATCTTTTCCCATATTTTCTGGGGAATCGACGATTAATTGTGTCTGTGTGTTTCTTTCCCTCCTGAAGAATGGCTGGAGCCAAAAATCGCTACGGACGAAGCCATAAACCCTTCGAAATGCAATACCGGATTCAAGAATATCATCAAAGTCTCAATTTGTCTGGCCGGTTACTCATCGTCGTCGCGTGAAGTCCCGACGCTGCTTCACGGCGGCGCCAAGTCGTCATGACTTCGCTCTGGCAGTGTTCATGATCCGAGAAAGGGGGCCAGCGGCAAGGGGCGAAGCCCTTTCGGATATACACACACATGCAGCCCGAACAGTATTTGCACCTACTGGGTCCTAAAGATCTAGGCCTGCCCGTCGGTCTGGCGACTATGTGGTCGCCGTCGCCGCCCAGGCGCCGCTTCGTCGCCGCCCGTTGTATGGGCCTGCCCGTCGGTCTGGCAGCTGTGGTCGCCGTCGCCGCCCCGTCGCCGCCTCGTCGCCGCCCATCTTCTGGGCCTGCCCGCGGCTATGTGATCGCCGTCGCCGCCCCGTTGGCATTCTTTCGTTTTGGTTTGAATTGTTTTGTGTTGTTCCGCATTGCGTCGCGCTTCTGCATTGATTCGTATTGTTTTGGATTGCCACGCAATGCTACATGCACGATATAGATTGCAGAATATAGATTCTCACTTGCTGAAAGAATGTAGAACACCGCCTCTCCCCCCCCCCCCGGGAATTATCACCCCTCCTAGGAATCCACAATTTGCATATGACTATGTTCCATCGCTCGTTTTGGAAACTGAACCATCACATTCCAGGGAAGACCCTTTTTAATCGCCCCCCAATCCTCTGCAGATAACATCATGCGCGCAAAAACGTTTAGCGAAAATCCTGCATGTTCAGAACTATGTTGCGAGACATCGCGCACAAAGTCCACGCGCACGCGTCGTCGCGCGCGCATGTCGAAATCCTTGGTACAAAACACTGCTGTTGCAAGAATGTCAGAATCAAGGTTCCCAAAAACATACCAAAATCCATGCTCACGAATGCGCGCGCGCGCTCTGGTGATCACTTGGGAAGGACAGGGGATGTTCAACATTTTCGTCCATAGAAACAACGCGGGCCTCTCGCGCGCGCATGTCGGAACTATTCGAACGGAATTGCGCGAATGCCAGGGTCGCACGATCCCTGACAAAAAAAATTCGCAAACCACCCGCGCGCGCCGGCCGCGCGCGCACGCCGAATCCCAACACGTGGACATCATCATCGTCAACGGCGCGACCAGCATCATCGCCCGCACTGGCTTCGCCGTAGTCATCGTCACGATCGCCACCATCATCTCTAATTAAAGGGGCCCTGGGACACACAAGTAAATACACACAAATAAAAAAGGATTCCCCATATTCTCCCATATGTTCTGGGTTCCAGTCTTCCCCCCCACTTCCCGTATTTTCCCGTATCTTCTGGGGAATCGCCGATTCATTGTGTCTGTGTGTTTCTTTCCCTCCTGACTAATATCATCATCGTTTCTGCCGTCGTTGCGGAACGGGAAAATGACCACAGCCACTGCTTCTTGTTTAGACCACCTTCCAGCTGGCCGAAAAAGAAGCAGCGGTTGCGGTCATTCCCCTGGTGCCAAGCTCAACGAAAATGACCACAACCACTGCTTTGTTTCTGCCGGCTGGAAGGCAGCAACAGAAGAAAAGCAGTGGCTATGGTCGTTCTCGCGCCCCGTAGTTGTCGACGCCGCCACGACGCCGCGCCCGCCCGAGCCCCCAGCCCGCGCTGACACGCCCGCGCGCCGGCGCGCGGCCTTGCGAGGCGCGCAGGGCAGCTTGCAGCGGCCAGCGCCACCGCGGCCGCGGCCACGGCGCCACACGAGAAGACCGCTCGGCGCGCGCGCTCGCGACCTGGCGCGCGCCAGCGCGGCCGCAGAGACTCGCCGGCCAGCGCCCAACCGTCATCGCCATCGCCTCCGCACGGGCTCTGCAGACTGAGCGGCGGGCGGGCGGGCGGAGCGGCGAAATCGCCGCACGCATGTCGCGCCGCAAGGATTGCGCCACGTAGGCCCCCCTCTTTACCCAAAGCATGGACTCCACCACCGCCACCCGGCTTCATCGGCAGCCCCTGGGACAGATGCAATACACATATGACAGCGCCGCTCGTTCATTTCAAATATGAAAA